TCTCTAGCACAAAAATACATTGCAGTTTATTTGAGTGACCAGGCGGCGACCGCCCCAGCCCCCAGGGACCACCAGAAATGAATAATGACTCTGACAACATGTTATGGAATTAAAATTTGGCCACAACTTTATTAAACTCTCAAATGTAGGAAGACCTTGGCTTAGGCATTGGGCGTGTAGCCTTCCAAGCCCCCCAGCCGGGGGAACTGGGGCTCCTCAGGTTAATTGGGATATGGGGGTGCTCTGCAAGATGCATGTGTATGCAGGCAGCCCACCCCAAACCCCGCACACAGGGTAATTCATTGACAACCTTTCTGTGTATGGCCAGTGACATCCATATTACAACCCCTTTAAGAGGGGACCCTGGAATCATCGCCGCGGGGCGGGGGTGAGTCACCACCTCACACCCTCCCCCCAATTTTTGGGATGAAAAGACAAAAGGATTCCGCCCAAGGCCTTAAACTGCCAAATTTGTGACGAATTGCTATGGGGAAGACAAAACCTGCCAATGCAGGAAAATTTGTTTCCGATTCTTCAACAGCAACCAGTCAAAAGACTGTAGCAGTGCCCACTAAACAGGAAGAAAACTGTTAACCTGCAAACAAGAAACATTAAACAAAGGGAGGGTTGGGTGGGTGAAGCTCCTGAGCCGACTGCCTGGCTACTGCTGGCTCCACCCTCTATTTATGCCACTGGCCCCACCTCCCAGCAGTGTAAATTGACTAACTGAGGCTGGGCATGAACCTCCAAATAATAACACTCAGAGGGAGGCCAGCCCATACAACCAGTAAGTTCCCTGGGGTCCGAAGCAACATACAGAATCCCGCAAAGGGCACCCAGAGTGTAAAGTGTGAGTTTTCATTGCAGGTAGAAGCTGGAGCTGTCTTTGGAGGAGAGTATCACCTTTGAATTGTGGGAGAGTAAGCATCATAATTGCTTCTTATTTCAAAACCATTCACAGTGAATTTGAGCAGGACTGATTCTTCAGGTCTTTTGATATTCAAACTTGACTGGGTAAGTATAACCTGAGCGTAGGCCTCTGAAGGAGCAAGAGAAAATCCTTAAATTATGGCACTGAGAAGCCATTTAATCACCAAACATAATGTTTCATAACTTATTGTTAGTTTCCACGGATAATCTATTATGGGAAATGGCATACCTTCCAATTGCCCTGTTCTAAGAAAGACGACCCAGCTTTCTTTGAAGGCATCTGGGGCTCTGCCTTTGTTCCAGGGCACCCCAATTTCATGGGAACTGTGGCAGCAGCTCCCACAGAGGCAGCAACATTGGGAAGGCGGCAGGAGAACTGGAGCCTTCTGGTCTCCTTGCCAAATATGGGCAAGCACTTTCTGCGTTTGGGGAAGGAGGTGGGAGAGCTCTCGGACACTCTCAGAGCCCTCCTGCCTCCATTCCTAAGTTGGGTAAGCTCTTAGTGAGCTTGGGGAAGGAGGCATGAGACTCTAACAGGATCCTGGAGCCCTCTTGCCTCCTAGGATTCTGTGCATCACCTTCCCAAAGTCAAGTGTGCTTGGGGAAGGAAGCAGGAAGGTTCTTGGTCCCTCCCCATAAGCATGAGATACCCCACCCCTGAGTTCAGAGATTCATTTGAAAATATGGCGAGGAGCCCAGTCTGCAGTTCTTTATTTGCAATTCTAGCTTGTCACACAGAATGGCAAAGTGGTGCTTGGATGGTGTGGGACATCTTGAATTTGTCACTGTGGAAACAGATGGGATGTATAATGAATTGCTTTCCAAGTGTTGTTCGCAAGCCCATGAAAGAGAAGCGCATGCTTCTTGTACTGCCACTTACAACATTTTCCTCATAGCGTGGTTCTCTTCCACAATAATACCTTCCTGCTTCTTTGGGCTTCAGGCCATAAGTTGCAGGGTCACCTGGCTTTTTGAGGTGTCTCTTGTAATGGTAATGCGGTTTGAGAGAGCACTGTTATAGGTAGCGTTTCCATTTCTCCACATCATTCCCATCCACTCCAGCCCCTTTCCCAAGGGTTTTCGGATCCAGTGCACCTGGTAACTTGTTAGAGAAAATCCAGACACTGTACAAGTCAGTCTCAGAGTGTCTCTTGGCATCTTAAGGCAATCACCGGTCTCTGTAAGAGTAATCTGGGATGAAATACCTGTACAGTGGTGCCTCGCAAGACAAAATTAATCCGTTCTGCGAGTCTCTTCATCTTGCGGTTTTTTCGTCTTGCGAAGCACGGCTATTAGCGGCTTAGCGGCTTAGTGGCTATTAACTGCTTAGCGGCTTTAAGAAAAAGGAAACAAACTCGCAAGAACTCGCAAGACGTTTCGTCTTGCGAAGCAAGCCCATAGGGAAATTTGTCTTGCGGAACGACTCAAAAAACGGAAAACTCTTTCGTCTTGCGCATTTTTCGTCTTGCGAGGCATTCGTCTTGCGAGGTACCACTGTATCAGAAAGAAAATATGGGGAGGAAAAAATATATGAAAAATATTACACAGGAAAGTGCCAGATGGCCCATATGAAGGGGGAAATGGAAGATTTTCTCACATGCTGGATATACCATCAAGAAGCTTATCAGAAACTTCAGTTCCATGTCTTCACTTGATGGCAAACACTCCCACAGACTTGAAGTGGAGATGAATTAGATCATAGACATCAAATACGGCATCCGTATTTGAAGACATCTACATGTGGCTTCTTTTTAATAAAGAGCACACCAGGAAATCATTTGCATAAGATCATAAGTGTTACCAATATTAAGCAATGAACAAATAAGAACTTACGCAATAGGTGAAATGATGCATGCCTAAAAAGTGTGTCACCAACATGAAATGTTTGGAAAGCTCTGATCTAAAGGCTGTCACATGGAAGATGGAGCAAGCTTGTTCTCTCCTGTTCTGGAGCGTAGCCCAAGCCAATGGATTCAAGTTACAAGGAGCTTCTGAGTAAGCATCAGGAAGAACTTTCTGGTTGTAAGAGTTGATTGACAGTGGAATGGACTCCCTTGGAAGGTGCTGGACTTTTTTATTGGAAATTTTCAAGCAGAGGTTGGATGGCCACATGTCATGGATGCTTTAGTCGAAATTCCTGCATTGCAGGGGGTTGGACTAGATGACCCTTGGGGTAACTTCCAAATCTACAATTCTGTGATTCTATGAAAAGAACTATTTTAAGGGGGAAGAGGGGAGATTTGCCTTAGCAACAACCAGTTTCATTCTTTGCTTTGGGCTGACACAAACAGAACGGAAATAAGGTTAGATGGCACCCAGGGAAACTTCACCACATATGTAAGAAACACACACACACACACAAATGTGCATCTTCGGACAAGTAATATACAAGTTTATTTATTTATCTTCCCTTATCTGGTTATTTGCCGATCAGAGAAATCCTAATTTGGGTGTGTGTGTACAGGATTCCACTTGTGTGAGGAGGAAATAATATGGATGCTACACATACAGTAGAGACACAATCAGCTTCAAATCCCCATTCACTGGACCAAACCCATGGCAAATTCCCAAAATGAATATCATGATCTGCATGTCTAGCCTTAATTTGCAGATTAGAACTGAACTATCCAATAGCTTTCACATTAATGTGTGTCTCGGAGCTTTAAATATAATGAAATAAATATTTAGAGGGCGTGGGAAATAAGAATGTATATAAATATTAAAATAAAAGTATAAATATGCATTTGAATAATTTTCTATTTTAAAGGATTCTCTTCTTCATGCCTTGAAACAGTTCTTCCTTTGGAAAGGGAGAACCCAGACATCTGCTTCCTGTGAAAAAGGAGATTTCTCTCTCTACCATCTCTTCCGGTTATGGTTTCTACTGCTTAACCCTTGCGTTCAATTGCGCATGAAAATGGAACATGAGCGCCGCCGCCAGGCAATATTTTTCTGTGGCTACACTACAGAAGGTTTTTGACATGAGCCCAGAAGGGTTTTCTCTCACTGTGCGCCGTCTTTAGTACAGTAATACATGGCAGTGTCCTCTTCTCTCAGGTTGTTCATCTCCAGGTAGAAGCTGTTTATGTCTTTGTAGGCTGTGAACCGACCTCGGAATGCAGAAGACTGAGCTTCTTTTCCTGGTATCCTGAACCGAGACAACCCTTCGAACGTCTTTCCGGGTGCCTGCCTGAGCCAATCCATGTAAAAAGTTTCCATAGCAGCATTCAAGCCATTCACAGTGCACTTGATCGTTCACTGAGTCTCCAGGCCTTTTGATTTCTAGACCTGACTGAGTGAGAGTCATCTGAGAATAGGCTCCTGAAAAGGGGGCATTAAAGCAGGAGAGTAACAGATTAAAAATAAATAAATGCTTAAATTACGACAAGGAGCAGCTGTTCAATTCCCCATCCTCAAATACATTCCGGAACTATTTGCCAATCTCCAGAATATATTTTGCTTGTAGAATGTACAAAGAAGCATACCTCCCAAAGCTGATAGAATGAAAAGTAGGTGTAGTAAAATCATCTTTTTTCTCTGTCTCTTCCTCCTGTCCTGTCTTTTTAAATGACTTCTCTGGGAAAAGAATGACTCAAAAGGCCAAGGGTAAGAAACAAGATGAACCCACAGCAGAAAGAGGCTTTATCAAGTACTCCATGAGACTCTTTGCATATGGTCCCCCATTTAAAAGGCATAACGAAGGCCACACCATTTGCATGATGCCCTCTGTGCTACTCAGGGGCGTAGTGCCATTCACCAGCAGCTTGGGCCGGGGCAGAGTGCGTTCTTCCAACTTTTGCCACTGACACTGCTGGGTAGACGCTCACAGGCAGGGCATAGGGGGTGAAGAACAGGGGTGGGACACAGAGCATGATCTTCACCCTTCACACTCACCCAGCCCTCACTGCCGGAGCCAGGCAGGGCATGATAGGGAACTCTGAGCGGACGGCATGCTACACGGAGCCTTCATGGAGTCCGCCTGCCGCCTCCTCCTCAGCTGCAAGGCAGCTGAGGGGAAAGCGGCAGGCAGATGCAAGCCCCACGATGCCATGTTGGGCAGCACGGAGCTTGCATGCAGTCTGCCCGCTGCCTCCCCCTCAGCCGCCCTACAACTGAGGGGGAGGCAGTGGGCAGATGCATGCCCCACACTGAAGCTTTGGGCAGCATGGAGCCTGCAGGTGCCTAAGCCGCTGCGTCACTCCCAGAAGAGACATGTGGCTCAGGCATGCCACAGGCCAGGCCTTGCGTTAAGTGCCACCCCTGCGAAGTGGCACCCAGTGTGCCCCTCTGCCACGCTCCCTAGCTATGCCTCTGTGTAATTGGTAATTTCTATGGAGCTGCAAAAAGCTCCCACTCCCCAGGTCTCATAGGACCAGGAGAAGTACGAAGCAGGAGGAGCAAAGGCAAGCACACCAGCGTAGTCTCAGATTGCTTGGGAAAGACGCGGGAGAGGATGAGACTTAGGAAGCTGTGATAAAGCCTTCCGTCTTCACAACTGCCTCACAGGGGCAAGATCTATTGAAGAATAGTTGCTGTGCTCATTAGGCCTGACACTCCTGAGCAGATCCTGTTTCTTCTAATAAAGAGTTATCTTCGCTTACTCTGTGTGATTTATTCCTGGCTCACTCTAGCTTGCTTCTGATACCCACCTTCAATTGCCTTTCTTTAGCAGAAAATAAGTTTCTCTCTCTCTCTGCTTAGCTACCAGTGGAACAAATATGCTGAATTTTCAATGCCCAGATCCTGTAAACGGTAAAATCTAAAATGAATATCGTGCAAGGCTGTTTGGGCCAATTGGGGCAGTTGGTGCGATTCCTGGGGCCTATAAAAGCGGCAGCGTGATGTAACTGGGGGCACTTGCTTCGTGCTGCCGAACACCTGCCTTCCTTTCCTAATTTTAGGTAGTGCTGCTTTGGCCTTGCTTTGGATTGGGTCGCCTGTTTTGGAACAGGGGCTGGGTAAGAATTTTTTCCATTTGGCAGATTGGCTGTAGCCACTTGGTTTGCTTACCCCCTTAGCAATCGTCACAACTTTGTAAGATTTGGCGGTTAGGCATTGGCTTATTGAAATATGGGTGTAAAAGTGGTTTTCCCCTTCCTAGTAACACTCCAGCACAATCAGTGTGATATTTACAGTCTTTATTACATATATACAAGAACAGCTACAGTTCAGAATTACGCATCCAAACCCGTTGAGTCAGATTCAGGGAGCGACTTCCTACAATCCTCGTACCAACAAAGTAGACGTGGGAATCGCGTGAGATGTCTTTGATCCTTACGTTTCACTTCCCTCCTTGTCTGTGCTGATTTGAAAGGCCCCTCCCTTCCTGAGTCTGAGCTTCCTTCCCAAGCCTCTGGATGGTTGCAAGGCTCTCCAGCATCCCTGAGCCCCTGCTCTCCATGGCTACTCTCCGCCCTCTCTTCCTCTTCCTCTGTCTCTGGGTTGTTGCAGGGCTCTCCAGCATCTCTAAGCCCCTGTTCTCCCTGACTGCCTCCCGGGTCATCTCCCTGTCTTTCTCTTCTGTCCATTGCTCCTCAGAATCCTCCCTGACAGTGGGGGATGGGAGTTGCAGCCATCACCTGCTCCTCCAGGAATAGGGTAGTCTGGTAAAGGAATCTAGGGGTCCTGGATCTTGTCCGAAGTCTGCTTGAGGGGCTAGGGCCATGCCAGGACCACAGGAGCCCCGGGGTGAGCTTTGGTCAGTCACCATCGATGTTGCTCCCTCGTTTGATGTTTACCCTTTCAGACTACCAGCCAAAGAGGCAGGAGTCAGTTATAGTCTGTTGCCAATGCCTAAGCCAACACCGCTCACTTTGCTGTAATCAATAAAGTTGTGGCCTAAATTTTGCCCAATAACTTAAACTTACTTAAACTAAAATTACATGCCAGTGTGAAGTTATTTTCAGGGGAAGGCCTTGGGGGCCTAGAAGTGCAACGTGCAGCACATTAAGATTAACCTTTTTCTTTTAAGTGTCAGAGCTGTAATGGCTCATTCACTCATGCGTGCCAAACATTAATGGTGATTTTCATTTATCACCTGCTATTCACCTCAAGGTCCCAGGGCATGTCCTAACAATTTAAAATAGCAGCATTAAAATCCAGTTTGAAACAAATAACTATTTAACTATTTTTTAAAAATTACCCTGCATTGAATGGGCTAGGACTAGATGACCCTTATTGTCCCTTCCAACTCTATAAGTCCTTGATTCTGTAAGAAGAATAGAGTAGGTCTTAAAACGCATGTGTCTCAGGTTTTAGAGGACAAGGTAAAGAGGTGCATCTTTGGCACATGATGAAAAGTGTATAATGAAGGTGCCAGACACATGTCTGTGTAAAGACATTTTCATAGTTTAGGGGATGCCACAAAGAATACCATCTCCCAGGCCATCCCTCCCCGCAAAAAATAAAAACAAAATTTGGGGAGCTACCAAAATGGCCACCTCGGCCAATGTTAACAAATGAGAGAGTCTGTTATGGTATGTTCTCAGTATTCATGTGTGAAATTGTGGTGAAATAGTCCCTTTAAGATTATTGTGCGGGTCGTATGAGAATTTGTTAGGATTCCTGGAATAATGAGCCTAAACACAGATGCCTCTCATTAAGGCCTCAAGGCCAATGTCAGATAGTAATCAAAGATACATAATTGGAGAAGGTGCTGATTTCATTGGGTGGAAGGGTTGAACAGCCATAGTCAGTGTTTTCTTAAAACCTTGGTTGGGGTGAGCATACAGAAATCTTAACATGGACGGTCAGCACCTGTTCGGACTTTAGAGGGTATTTTGCTTGTTGCTCAGCCTGCTAAGATTTATGCTTAAGTGTTTCTGTAGGCTAGGTAGATAAGATAGTTTCGTTATTTTTTAGCCTCTTAATTTGTGTAATTGTTCGAAGCTTTTCCTTTTACAGAGTTTTGTTTTTAATAAAGTTTCTTGTGTATTTTTATGGATATTGGTCTTGCTTGAGTTTCTGAACCTTCCAATCTAGACTGCACTTTTCGATTTTTGTATCTTTTTGTAAAATCAATAAATACTATATAAAAAAATATTTTAAAAAATAGACTGCACTTTTCGAAGAGGGCCATTCATCACAGAAATAGCCTAAAGATGATGGATTGCTTTAAAAAAATGAAAAGCAAAAAGTCTGCAGCAAACGCCTTCCCCTTTTTGTACAGTTCTCCTTTGCTTTGTCTCACTGTGGTCTTCGGGCACAGTAATATGTGGCTGTGTCTGCAGCTGTCAGGGACCTCAGTTCAAGGTAATACTCATTGCTGGAGGCATCTGCAGAGAGTGTGATCCGTCCTTGAAGAGATGGGGCATAGTCTATTCGCCATTTAGAGCCATCCCAATCTATTTCTCCAAGCCATTCCAGTCCTTTCCCTGGAGATTGGCGGATCCAGTCCCACAAGCTGCTGCTAACAGAATAACCACTAATAGTGCAGGTTAGCCTGAAGGATCCTCCAGGCGTTGCTGTTCTTGGCCCAGATTCCATGAGCTGAACACTGGAGCGAACATCTAAAATCAATGACAAAGGATTTTTGTTAATGACCGACATACAATTCCAATACATTTCATTCTTCACATTTACCTGGTAGATACTCACACAGTGGAGCTGTTAATAAGGAAAGAAAAAGAAAGGGGAGCTTCATGGTGTGTAATAAGAGAAACAGTTTCCTCTGATGTGGTGATTGTTAGTCTACAGCCAACTCTAAAAAATATATGGTGTGTTTAGGTACTTAAAAGGAAATTTATTAATGCAGTGGATTTGCATGTGATTTTCATCTTGCCGAAGATGCCAGTTTAAAAGAGACACCCCTCCCATGGGTTTGAGAGATACTAATGGTTTTCTCAAAAGAATCAGGCTGCATCAACAAGCCAGTGCTTTTGAGTTCTCCCCCATCCCCAATTTTATGCAATGTTGTGTGCTTTTAATTTTTGTAAGTCAAGTTGAAGACATCTTCTATGTCGTGATTAAAAGTAATAGTCCTGCTTAGAGTAGACTCAGGGAAATGAATAAGCCCAAGTTGGGGATGTCCATTAACTTCATTTGATCTACATTGAATAAGATTATTCTTAGGTCATACAACCAATTATTTACAGTGACAGCTTTTGTATTATTTTTTTGCCATTGTCTCTTCAGCAGTGAAAGCATTGGAACACCTTTTATGGCCTGCAAATCTCTTGCTGCCACCTTCATACCTGGATGCCCCAGACATGCCATCATTCTGAAGAATTCTGAGGGAAGGGGAAATGACAGCTGTCACAAAAACCATGACTACCATTCATTTTCCCACAATGGTGTGTGTGTGCGCATGTGTGCGTGCGTGCGTACGTGCGCGTGCATGCGTGCGTGCGTGTGTACAGTGGTACCTTGGTTCTCGAACTCAATCCATTCTGGAAATCTGTTCAGCTTCCAAAACATTTGCAAAACAAGGCATGTCTTCTGAGTGGCTGATTGGCCCTGGAAACAATGCTAAAAGCCAAAATGGATGTTTGGCTTCCAAAAACATTCGCAAACTGGAACACTTACTTCCGGGTTTGTGGCATTTGGGAGCCAAGCCATTCAGGAACCAAGGTACCACTGTGTGTGTGTGTGTGTGTAAAACAAAAAACAAACTAATCTATATTAGAAAAAAAGAAAGAGAAAGAAAGAGAGAAGAAAGTGCAAAGTCCTCTCTCAAAGGTAAATCTTAATCCTTGTTTCACACAGTGGACCCTGCCAGCTCTCACCTGGAAGCTTCCCTTTCTTCTCCCAGACTCCCACCCTTGGAGATCTTCCCTTCCCTGCCTCTCACACAGGGTCCTTCACCAGCAGGGCATTATACCTTCATGTGCATACAATTCCCCCAGTAACCCAGAGTAAAAACAGGTAAAGGGACCCCTGACAATTAAGTCCAGTCATGAACGACTCTGGGCTTGTGGCGGGCGCTCATCTCACTTTACAGGTTGCGGGAGCCGGCTTTTGTCCTCTTCCACAGACAGTTTTTCCAGGTCATGTGGCCAGCATGATTAAGCTGCTTCTGGCGAAACCAGAGCAGCGCACAGAAATGCCGTTTACTTTCCTGCCGGAGCAGTACCTATTTATCTACTTGCACTGTGTGCTTTAGAACTGCTAGGTTGGCAGGAGCTGTGACCGAAGAACGGGAGCTCACCCCGTTGTGGGGATTCAAACCGCCGACCTTCTGATCAGCAAGCCCAAGTGGCTCAGTGGTTTAACCCACAGCGCCACCTGCATCCCAGAGTAGTGGACACCAAAAGAAACAAAACAGAAGGATTTATTTACAATTAAGCAGTGCATAAACTTATTACTTATTACTTTACATTCATTCATTTATTTATTTTTTTAAAAAACTTGTTTTTTCTAGATTTATTGGTATCAGTAGTGCAAAGTCAAACAAAGCCTGAGATATCTGTCACAAACTGACCTGAATCACCGTATAAATACATGGTGACAACAGTTGTGCAAATAATTTCAAAATCTCAAACGGTCACATTTCTTTTGAGTGCTGTGAAAGGAGGATTCTGGACTTGTTTGAACCTTGGCCTGATCCATCAGCTGGGCTCTTCTTATATATATATTAGTCTCTTCATGGGAAATGCAGGACAACATGGAACACACTGACATCTATCCCACAGTTGAAAATGTTATTCTGTTGATGTTTTCCACATCTGTCTTCCAATGAGGTTCAAACCCTCGTCCCTCTTTTTAGAAATCAGATGGTGTTTTCCAGCTGAACTCTGCTGGGCTACGTGTATCTGTGCTATATGCATTTGTTTGTGGTTTGCCTCCTGTTTTTGCTGTGTGTCTACTTCCCCCTTGCCATGAAAAGAAAAAGTGTAGTCAAGAAGACTGAAGATTTTGCCCACTGACTGCTAGTTTTTCAATCACTGTGTCTCTAGCACAGTAGTACAAGCCTGAATCTTCCACCTTCAAACCACTCATCTGCAAGTAGAGTGTGCTGATGGAATTGTCCCTGGAGATAGTAAATCGACCCTTAACTGAGTCAGCATAGTGTGTAGAAGTGGTAGCAATATAGGCAATCCATTCCAATCCCTTTCCAGGAGCCTGTCGCACCCAGTTCATGTTGTAGCTGCTGAAGGTAAACCTAGAGGTTCGGCAGGTGAGGTGGAGGGACTCTCCTGGCCTTTTTACGTCCCCTCCAGATTCTTCCAGTTGAATCTCTGATTGGACATCTATAAAGAAAGAGGTGCTATAAATTTCACTTCAGATTAATTATACCTGAACCTGTAGCCCTATAGTCGTCGTTGGACTCCCATCACCCCCCGCCAGGAATGCCAGCAGTCCAGAATTATGGGAATTACAGTAGACTAATGACATCTGAATGGTTACAGGTTCCCTGTCCCTGCATTAGCCCCTAGAGCATACTGATCTTTTGCATGCTAATTGCATCTAATGGATAATTACCTCTGATGGCTGCTGAAAATAAAACAAAATAAACCCGCAGAAGCATTTCTCGGTGATGTTTTGAAGCAAATTAAGAAGAAACTTGACACTGGCTAACAGGGTTGTGAATCTCTAGACATGTATCTCTTATAGGTAGGGAAGGTGTGTGGCTGATTTATAGAGGAAGCTAGGCCACATTTACATAAAGCTCAGGATAAAAGAGCAACACAGCCTCTCCACCTTTCATGATTGAGGAGAGATGATTGGCCATCGCTTGCTGTTTCCATGAGATGGCATTGGGCAGTAATGATTATTTCCATGTATATCATTGAAAATCAGGTTTAGGTTAAAATTTACTTGGACTAAAAGCACATTAGGTCTGCAATGGAAGAATACAGTGTGGTGTAGTGGTTAAGAGCGATAGTCTCGTAATCTGGGGAACTGGGTTCACATCTCTGCTCCTCCACATGCAGCTGCTGGGTGACCTTGGGCTAGTCACACTTCTCTGAAGTCTCTCAGCCCCACTCACCTCACAGAGTGTTTGTTGTGGGGGAGGAAGGGAAAGGAGAATGTTAGCCGCTTTGAGACTCCTTTGGGTAGTGATAAAGCGGGATATCAAATCCAAACTCTTCTTCTCCTTCTTATATCTGGCTTGAATAGCTTTCAGGTAAATTTAACCTGGTCAGTCCAACACAGACCAAGATCCCTGAAATGGAAGAAACAGGAAAAAGCTATGGGATGCATCTTTACAAATGACCCCTGGAAAGATGACATACAAGCAAGTCAATAGGCACAAGACCTTGTTCCGGTTCCCATTTCTTGATGAAGAGGTTTTCTCAATGTATACACTAATTTCACTTTAGTCTATTGTTCCTGGCACAGGTGAGAAGGGGAGCAGTGGAGAGGTTTGGACCTTGGGAAGCCAAGCTCTTGGATAGAGATGGGGAACCTCAGGTCCAAGGGTCAAATATGGCATGCCAAGCTTCTTTGTCCCATGCACTCTTCCCATTCCACCACACCCTCTCCTTGGGCCATGCCCCTCCTTGGGCCTTGCTTCACATCTCCATTGAGTGTCTTTCTCTGGATGGATTGTGTTTTGCTATGTGGCCTGCAGGACCTTGTCACTTCTAGGTCTGGCCCATCAGCCAGATCCACTTCTCTCCCCACAGGATGCTCTACCACTTGGGATAACATAAGGATATTCTGTGTGATATATTTGGAGAATCTTTATTCAAAAGAATAGCAAAAGAACAGCAGGAATGTTGCATTGTGTATTCCATGAGTGGTTTGAAAAATGGAGAAGCTGAAAGAGGATCCTGTTTGGGGCTGGTGCACACAAAAAACCCATGCAAGACTGGCCCCTCATTTTCTGGAGGGTAGCTTTTGTACTGCCTCTTAGAGGAATTTGCTCAGTGTGGGTGCATCTTTCGAACAACAATACATGGCAGCCTTCAGGGAGTTGAGTTGCAAGAACACTTGATTTCTGGCAATGTCTCTTGTGATGCTGATCCGATTTTGGAAAGTGTTGTTATAATATGTCTTCCCGTTACCCTGGATGAGTCCAACCCACTTCCATCCCTTCCCTGGTGACTGACTGATCCAATGTACACCAAAGCTGTCTACAGAAAATCCAGACACTGTACAGGTCAGCTGTAGAGTCTCTCCAGTTTGTTTCATTCCACCACCTGCTACTGCATAAGACTGTGGTGAGATACCTGCATTACAGGAAAGAATATATAGACAGTAAAAAATGCATATGAGTAATAGGTAGCACATCATCAAGATTGTCATCTGCACAGAAGAAGAAATTAACCCCTTCTTACATGCAGGGATGCTCATTAAGATACTTATCAAGAGCTTCAGTTTCATGATTCTGATAGATGGTATTAACTCCTATCACTGGAAGAACCTTGAGTTGCATCAAACAGGCCACACCATACAATCATTTGCATTACGCCATGAGTACTACTCTTATAAGAGACTTGAAAAATGCAAACCTCCTCCCCACACCACTGAATCATCCAAAGAATTGCTCTGTAAAAAAAGATGTAGGAGGAAATGTCACTGGACATACAGTTTCCGTGGCTCCCAGAACCAACAGCTTAAAAATTAGGCACAATTGCAACATATACTTTAAATAGCATTATTGTTATTGAAACACTGGCTCTATGTTTTTATGCAAATTCATTGGAATGGGTAAGTTTAATGTAATGTGATCTTGCCAGTCTTGCTATTAATAGTGTCTGCTGCCTCTAGGTCAGGAGTGAGGAACTGCAG